TCCCGTCCTGTCCCCCCCCCAGTCCAGTATCCTCTCCTACACCCATACCCCTGCCCAGGTCCCAACCCCCCTCTCGGACCCTGCACCCCCTCCTGTATCCCTCCCAGGCCAGTATCCTCTCCTACACCCACACCCCTGCCCAGGTCCCACCCCCCCTCTCGGACCCTGCACCCCCTCCTGTATCCCTCCCAGGCCAGTATCCTCTCCTACACCCACACCCCTGCCCAGGTCCCACCCCCCCTCTCGGACCCTGCACCCCCTCCTGTACCCCTCCCAGGCCAGTATCCTCTCCTACACCCACACCCCTGCCCAGGTCCCAACCTCCTAGCAGACCCTGCACCCTCTCCTGCATGCCAATCCTCTACTCCAAGTTCCCTTCTACACCAAGCCTCCCTCCCAGATCCCCACCCACTCCACTGAAATGTGGCCCTTGGCCACTTACCAAAATATTGGGAGTGGCCCCATCACAAATTATTGCCCACCCCGATCTAAGTGCTTGCCACTCCTCCCCAGTGGAGCTGCAGCCCCCTTCCCATTGCGTGTGAAGCAATGCCCCCGCCACCCCACCCAGTGGCCCTGCTCAGCGCCGGCCCGCCTGTCCCAGAGCCTGTGCCTTACCTTTATACACTCCAGAGCCACTCGCTTGGCCTCCTGGTTCTCTGTCGACGGCCCCCGCATGCCCGACTGCTCTGCACCGCTGAGCGTGAGCCAGCTAACGAAGCTCAGCACGGTGGACTCCCCGCTGCAAACACAGCCCAGCATCAGCCACACAACGTGCCCACGCGTGCTCCTTAGGGCCTCTGAGGGACTCACTGGCCCCCCAGAGTCCAGCGAGCAGCCCCCTCGTGCCACTCACCGGTTAGACGGCGTCTCTTCCCGCTGCAGAGAGATCTTACCGTTGGGATCCACAAAGTCTTCAACCTGAAAGTCAGACCCCAGTTCACTCTCCCAGTCTGTTTCCCACTCTGCCTTCCCAGCCATGCAAGTCTGACCTCTGGCCACGGCCACAGCCCCACAGGCCCCGCCCAGCCCTGGGCCCTGCACTCCTCACCCCACGGCACTTCCCCACACACACAGGTCTTGCCACTCCCCCAGCAGGTATCAGAGCTGGCTCTCATCCTGTTCACTTACAAACCCACCTGCCAAGCTGAGCGGCAGGCGCCCCCAGTTACTAGTGTGCGACGCCCTTCGAGGGCTGCCCAGCTCCACCCGCGCCCTTCCCAGCTGGGACGCTGCAAAGCTGGGCTCCCTGCCGGCCCTCACCTCCACCATGGCCTTGGGCAGCAGCTCCGCTCGGAAAAGTTGCAGCATGGCCTCCATGATGTTTTTCCAGCCTTCCCGTAGAATGTCGCCATGGCGATGAGCCAAGTGAAAGACCGTCTTTGCTGCGATGTGGGCCTTGGGATTGCTCCCAAAGCCGCTGGGCAGGGTCTCGACAGACTGCAAGAGAGGGGAGTGGGCGGGGGTCTGTCAGCAAGACGCACGCCCCTTTCAACACTGGCCAGGCCCGGCGCAATGCGGGCCCTGCCGGGAGAGATTTCTACAGCTAGCATGCGCTTCCGGGCCCGTCTGGGACCAGCTGGCTTCCCTGACTCACTGAAACACCGAGGGAGGGCAGAGATACCCCTCCGGAGCACTTCAATGCCAGCAGGAGGGCTGCCCCCATTGACACAGGTACGCCACCTACCCGAGAGGTATCAGCATCTTTCATCCTGATCCTCCCTAACATACTGCATGGTCTACCATTGTCTATCGGAGGCAGGGTACCTGGGAAAACTAGGGCCGAGACGTACTACCCTGGCCAAGCAGAGCAACCTCAGCCAACAGCTTATATAGGGCCTGAATGGGACTGTCTTTAGGGAACACTCAGAGTCACTGTCTTCAGCACTGACAGTGCTCGGGCTGAGTCACCTCATCTCCTCACCAGACTCTGCACATCAAGGGTCAGAATTCAACGTGCATATTTTATTAACGCCTACTATTGGGTGAACGCAGAGCCCCCACGCAGCATTAAGGCGTGTCCGGAAACATGCTGGCCATTTTCTGACCTTTCCGGAGTCCAAGCAAGGGGGACTGGACCCGCCACAGGTGACCCCTTCCGAGCCCTGACAAAGCTGCTGAAAATGCCGCATGAGCAACACCGGGAAGGAAACAGCAGCATTCTCCACTATGGGGAAACGCTATTTTATTATGGTTCTGCATTCACTTGCATGGAAGAGTTCACGGCCGAACTCCCCAGGCTGGCACTGAAAAACAGGACACAATCTACCTGCAGAACCTGAAAAAGGTCACCTGTTCACCAGAGACTTTGCGACAGAAAACGCTACATGGCAAACACCTGCTTCCTGGCCCCAGCCCCCACCAACTCACCTCGCTGCTGAGGGCAGTAAACTTGCAGAGAGAAATGATGAGATTGTCAAATACGTCGCTCAGTCCGTAGTGTGCTGAAATCATCGCGCATTTCCTGAGGGGCAAGCCACAAGCAACGTAAGCACAACCCCGCAAGATGCTCCCAGTCAGGTTCTTCCCCATTCCCCTGCGTCTCCCATCGCAACACACGCCAATGTTCAGCAGCCCACCTCTGCCCCCTGCACGGCCACCCTTCAACACAGCCTGCTGGCAGCTGAGCTGAAATCCCCAAACCTTGGTATCTCCTTACGCTGGTCCAAAAAACTAACTGCAGCCTCAGAGGCCCAGCAGACAGGACCCAAGTCCCCAGTTCAACCCTTCATGTAAAAATCCCGGTGGTGAGTTTGTTCATGGAGGCTGAGGTTCAAAGTTCACAAAGGCCCCAGCTACAATGGTGTAATAACAGAGCTTTCAATACATGTTAGTTTGGACTCAGCTGTGACCCAACACACCCAATACAGAGCACTGAGTCTGGAGGGATTTTTGAAATAGGTTGGTCACCAACTATACTAGGCCCTTCTCTGGCCACAGCTCCGCTTACACAGCACTCATTCGTTTTAAATAGCGGATGACACCGTGCAGAGCAGGCAGAGATGGAGTGGTACTCATCGGAAGCCTGAATCCACCCAAGCTCAGGGAAGATCACCAGCTGGTGCCACGGAGCTGCAGGCTGGAAGCAAGCACCTCTACGTTACTAGGGAAAGTCAGCAACTTATCCTGTCTTCGCTCCCGCCAGCTGGCAGGTGGAGATACTGGCCAAAATGGGGATGATTGACACCCACGCACAGGAAGCCTACTAGGTCTCTGGGGGACTACCTGAAGCCAGAGACAGCCTTCTGGATGATTGTTTCATCTAAGCTCTTGTCAAAAACGTAGGACAGGGCTGCAATCGTGGGGCCCCAAGTCATCGTGAAGAGATCATGGTCGTAGCTTCCTGGCGGCATGTGCAGGAAGATGCCTTCCTCGGTGGCCCCACGATGCAGGAGTACATTCCACATGTAGTTTTCTTTCACCAGGCCCGTCTGCTCTTCTGGCATCACGATCTCGTCGTTTCTACCGGGGGGGAGGGACAGGTTAGGTTTGGCTCAGAAGGAAAAAAATCCAGCACTTATTCAGTGCCTTTCACTGCCAAGAACAGCCCGTGCGACGCACCCCGGGATCACTCCGCACACCATTCAAGTGCACGTGTGCTGCCGACGAACGGAAGATCTGGTAACACCACTTCACAACACTGCACCATTTGCTTATGTCAGGAATCTCTCTCTGAGGGGCGATTTACGGCACGAGGCAAACAACAAACTGGATCTAGCAGGTGTCCTGGCTAATTAGCAACTCAGCATCCTCTTTCTTCATTAGGAACCCATTCATCTTCCATACAGGTAGTTTATGCATTCCCAGACAAAAAAAAGCTATTATAGCAAAGAGCAGAAATGGGTAATTTAGGATAAACGTACCAGGGTGTTATAATTATACCAAAATCAAACACTACAAAGCCAGGAAATTCAAAGTTAGCGTTACACTTAAAAGAAGTCTGAACATGTTAATGTATGGAAATCCATAGTGAAGTAATGTAAACATCCTTAACTCTGCCCTGTAGAAGCACTATGCATTACCCATACAATTATGATTAAGAATAGCACTGCTTGCAGTCTCAGGACAAAAATCACCTTAATCTAAGGCCTTGTGTTTTATTCTAGACTTTTGGTATTACAAGGGTGACGTGTGGGACCAATAGGAGACACGCCCACGTGAAGGTACTAGTGACTTCCTCCAGGAACACCTTTAACAACCTCCCTCCGAGCACCATCCGTGCCATCCTGAAAGTCACTTTCCATCCCTCACCATGACCACAGGCTGCCGCTGCCGTTGCAAACCTTTGCAAGCCAATGGATAACACTCAAATAGCCGAACTCAACCCTTTCGTCCTCACCCATAGCGCTTTGTCCAAGCCATGGCAACAAGCATGAGTTTAACTTGTTAACTGATTAAATGGGTGGGAGGCAGGCCCATTCCGGCCTCCGCCTGCCATGGCTGGGCTGAAGCAGCCCCCACACTGCGGGCAGGGCTGCTCCAGTCCAGCTGCTTCCAACCCCGTGCTAGGCTGCCGGCATCCTGCTCGCGTGGGCTGGGAGAAGCCATCTCTTCGCCGCTATGACGATCAACACACCTTCAAGATCCCTGGGTCGTCTCTCTCAACATGTGGTGCACCTCATCCAGCTCACCAGATGTCCCCAAAACAACGATGTGCATGAAACCAGACAGCCACTATGCGCTTGAATGAATGCACACCCTAACCCTTTCACTAAGCAAAAGGATGGATCACCTTGTATCTGACCTCTCAGACCTCATTCTCAAAGAAACCTGCACAAACCCCTTTGAAAGACAGACCTAGGAGCTGACCTTTGCTAGACACTAAGGCTATGTCGACGCCTGCGTTTGACTGACTGATTTTGCTGGTCACGGGTACTTAACTCCCCAGTGAACAACAAAATGTTGCCGCGACTAGTGCAAGTGTGAACACTGCTTTGCTGGCTCCTGCCGCCAAAGCGAAAGCCACTCACTGGGAGTAGAAGTATTTTGTCAGCACCGAGAGGCAGCATTCTTTTAGCAGCAGGGTTGTGTCAACACGAGATACACCATTTATGGCTTATGACAACCATCTATAAACCACTAACACCCCACTCTTAGTTCTTCCCACCCGCCTTTCACCTGCTATGACGGGAGAGGCACAAACAGGCCACTTCACCTTGAAAGATGTGTTAATCTGTGCCACCTTGTACTCCAAGTGTCACAGAGTAACGCTCCCTACCCGTAGTGTAGGGCAAGTCTGAAGAGACGTATGTTTGGAACAGAAGAGCTTGATACCCAATGAAAAGTCTTAAAAGGCTCATATTTTGATTAGTTTTAACTCAAGTTAATGGATGTACTTGGAAATTCTCCAACATATAACTGTGCCCCCAAAGCGCAAGCACTGTAATTTTGGAGACAATATTCTTCAATATTCTTCTTCGATGTGCCCAAGTCTGAATTCTGTGCTGTAAGTGCAACAAGCCTCCATCTTAACTCCTGAGTCGTGGCAGCTCCTCCATAATAGAGCAGACTAGGCGCCAGGCGGTCCTTGTGGTCGGACTACAGAAGTTGAGCTGGTTTTGGGACAGAGTCATCTGACAAAAACTCTCTGGAGCCTTTCTGGGCTCCATGTGAAGTGAGGAGAACCCCAGCATGCAACAGATATTGATCAAATATACAACTCACTTCCTGAAATCTGGAGCTGCCTCTTGAGGAAATTCTAGGTGCTTCGTACAAGTGGCTGCCTGACCCTCCTTCTGGAGGAGACTTGAAAGGGAGCATCAGACTAAGATGCCTGCCTTGCTTCCCGGCACAGCAGTTGCACGCAATCACAGATTAAGACCAGCTGCGAGTCCGTCACAACCTCCCCCCCGCCCAAGCTGTAATCCCCTTGACTTCCAAGTGGCTGGGCCTGGATTTACTGACTAGGATTGTTCTGAGCTCCTACCCGCAGCCAACTCTGTGCACGACAGGGCCCCAGGGTCTGCTAGGAATTCCCCCACGCAGCGGCCTGTGCGCCGGGGCCCCAGGGATAGGAAGAAGAAACCAGGAACGGGCAGTTTAATGAGAGAGAAAAGGACAAAAGCAGACGCACCACCAAGACATGGCCTCCCCATCTCAGGGCACCAAGGCAGCGCCAGGGACGGACGCTACCTCTGGCACTAAATATCGGTGCTGCTGGAAGCCCGGCCCAAGGGAGGGGTTTCACATGGCCGCTTTCGCACGTTGACAGAATCCTGGAAGTTTTTAAAAACTTTTCCTTAAGCCTTGTGGATTAAAATATCAAGGCAGGGGCCCGATACAAGTCTAGTTCATAACGGCGACGTGCATCCTGCCGCAGCCCCAGAAGGAAGGCAGTCTACGGCAGACCAGCACACAATCAGCAGAGCTCTCCAATCGCGCTCCAAAGGCCTTACAGACCAAAGCAGAGCCAGTTTGCTCTGAGTACGTGGAAATGAGACAGAGGGCTGAATTCTTACTTGATGGCATGATACATGTCCTCCAGGATGTCCTGTTCAAAGTCTTTGCCTCCGTTCACCCCCTTCAAGTTCTTCCGGAATTCCTGGGAACATGACAGTTAGCACCAAGCGGATAAATCTCGGAAGACTATTTCAACCCCCCTAACTTACGGGGCACTGGGCAGTCCGTATACAGCTTGCGGACCCATGGGTCTGATCAGTTGTCGGGCTGCCTTTCCGGGGATTCGAGAAACACTGACCAATACACAGTCATTCAGGAGCATTGCACATGCCTGTCAATGGCATGGGTGCGGTCAGCAGCCTCCATACTTGCTGCTTCCAGGTCATGTTAAATGGGGGGGATGGTCCTTTAATGTTACATGTGCTTAGCTTCATCCACAGATCAGGATGACAAACACGCCACCAACGTAAGGACGCTGTGCCTCACGTCCACTCTGCCCTCCCCAGTTGCTTATCTACTTGGCATCACCTCTCTAATCAACTAGGCTTTTCTGTTGCTTCCTTTCTCTCCTACTAGGTCTTATGAGACAGCGGGATATGAAACGGTTTACAGTGTAAACGCAATTCAAACCTCCCCTGCACGTTACTGCTCAGCTTTCGTGCCTTCAGACTGCGTCTCTCCTGTGCTTACGCCCCACACTGCTATTATTTCCAGTGCATCGCAGTGGACTAACCAGAAGGGACAGCAAGCGAGAGAAAGCCAGAAAGGTGAGCACACAGTTCAGTGCTACTAAATGGGAGAGAAGGAAGAGGCAGCGTAACAGCCCTATGCAGGGATCTGTCTCACCTCCAGGGTCATTGGCACATTCTGCTTGCGGACATTATGGTTATGCTGGTCAGTGTTCAGCAAAATAACGGCGTAGGCCAGGGCAAAGCAGGCATCGCTGTTAGCAAACGGAGAGCCATTGGATTTCTGAAAGGCAAATAGAGCCCCAAGTCAAATCCATGCCGAGACACGTACACAACTCGAGCGCTCCACTCTCCTGCCAGCGCGACAGGCTCCAACAAAGGCACTGGCTGGACAATCAGAATTCTGCTCCCAGCTTCTGGACAACGCCGCATAAGCAGTCACTGCGCCGCCACCCCCCGCTGCACTGTAATGGCTGTTGCTCAGCGCGCGCCATGAGCTCACGACAGATTCACCCGGGGTTTGACGTGTCACGGACAGCAGGGGTGAGTGGAGAATCCCTTCTTCCCACCCAGTACGCACCCGCCAATGTTCTGTGAAGGCTTCCAACAGCCGCTGAATCACAGGCGCCTCTCCCGGTAAGCGAAATGCTTCTAGATAAAGCCGTAACGCTTCATCCAGCCGCAAGCCTTGGAAATTGAAAGTCCTGCAATCAGAGCAAACGGCTATGAGACTGGAACAGGCAGGGACAGAACAAGGCCTGCATGCGCTCCCAGATGTGCTGGCTGGGAAATACCGAGGATCAACGCACAGGAACGAGTCATACCCGAATGGGGGCAGGGAGCAGATGCAGATGAGCAAGAGCTGTGTGTGGAAGACGGAGGAAGGAAAGGTCACCAATATCCGCCAGTGAAAGGAGCAAGGAAGGAAGAACAGCGGTCAGAGCAGCTGGTGATGGGTTTAACTCCTGAACCAGTTCCCGTTCACGACCAAATACGAGACGCGGACACCAGCAATGGACAATACTCACCCCACAAAGCTTTCCAGCAGGTCCATGTTCTTCCGGTCGCTCACAAACTCCCCAATCATCTTCTTGTCCAGACGGGGGTTCTCGCGCAGCCACTGAGCCACCTCATTGTTGTCCATGGGGGTGGCCAGAAGGCTCCTCTCCTGCAGGAACTGTACCCCTTTCCTTGGCTTCTGGTTGAACTGCTCTGTGCCAGTTATCAGGAGCTGCAGGAGACAAGCTAGCAGTTACCAGTTTGGCTGAAGAGCCCGACACAAAGCAGAGATTCACTGCCACTTTTCCCCGAGGAGCGAGCACTCTCGGGGGTCAACAGCCATAAATCAAAAGGACTTCAAGGCCCTGTGAGAAATAGGACGGGCTTCAGGACTGAATATGTTGTGTCATCTTGCAAGAGACATCACACTACGCCAGAGCCTGAAGATCTGCAGGCCTTGATGCTCAGAGGCGCAACAACAGAGAACAGCACAAACCATGAAAAGGTTCATGTCTCACCCAGAGACTAGGTCTGTACTACAGGGTATCCAGCCCTGCCCAACACTGATTCAGCTAGAGCAGAGAAAGCTCCAACATGATCCTCCAGCAGGGGAACAGAGCTACTCCTCTACAACAGTAGCCATTTCTATCCAGTTTGGGACTACTGGAATCTCAACTGAGCCCCACAGGCAAGCAGGTAGCACTGGTCCTATGTGGTGCACAGAAGCAAGCAGACACTCGCTGCCAACAGGAGGGGCTCTCTCGTCAGTTAGCTAGGTCCATGCAAAACAATTCTTCCATCAACCTAGCACTGCTGATACTTGGGGTTACATATCACCAGGGTGTGGCGTTTTCACACCTATAACAGACAAATATGCAAATAAACACAAATAAATTCT